CCCCTCCCCCTCCTTCTTCTTCTCCTCTCTGTCTCTGTCTGTCTCTATCTCTGTCTCTCTCCTTTCTTTTTATAAACATTAGACTAGCTCCTGGTTATCCATGGTAGAGGACCCCTGATAATTGCAAGCACCACACAATCAAAACGTTATTTTGAGAGACACAGATGTAGAGAACAAATGTAGGGACACCAAGGGGGGAGAGTGGGGAGGGGGTGGTGGTGGTGTGATGAATTGTGAGATTGGGATTGACATGTATACACTAATATGTATAAAATAGATAACTAATAAGAACCTGCTGTATAAAAAACAAATTAAATTTTAAAAAAAAGAAAAATGGAAAAAAAACATTATTTCAGACAAATTTATAGTGTGTTAAACTTCAGTAGAGCTAACCCAAAAGACTGGATTAATTTTAGCTTTCTCCTCCCTCTTTCCTTGCTCACCCTCTAGTGGACATTCTTGTCAATGGCACCTCCTAAAAGTAAGTCCTGAAGAGAGCAAAGCAGCTCTAGCTTTTTGACCTAGCAGGTTTCAGGGCCTACAGGTACATTTACATTTCTGGAGGCTAAGATGTAAAGGAGACAGTCTGCATGTAAAATTAGGACCTGTATGATGGAGGGTAATAGAAAGGAAGAGTCACTGGCATAATCAGATTAGCGTTTTTAAAAAGAATAACAATAGCTGTAGAGCTCAACACTCCATATTTATTACCTTATTTAACCTTTATAAAGCTTAAATATTACTGCTCCCCAGTGGATACCATTATTATCCCCATTTTTAAAAGTCTCAGAGAGGTTAAGAAAGTTGCCTTAGTCACAGAGCTAGTAAGAGACACGGCTGGGGTTTTGAACCAGGGCCAGTCGGGACTGGAAACTATGCTCTTGATGGTTAAGCTGCACTGCTGGAAGGAGCTCGGAAGACATGTTGAAGTGGGGACCAACCTGGAGCCAAGAAGACCCGGAAGTGCCAGTACTCCTGCTACTCCCCAAAGACATGTTTAGACCCGTGTTTCTAAGTCCTTTCCTTCAATTCTCTCAACCCTTGTCCAACCGGGCTTCCAACCACACCTGAGACTGCTCTTGCCAAGGTCTTCCACTTCAATGAATCCAAAAGCCAGTTATCTGTCCTCATCTTATTTGACCAATCAGCTCCTAGATTTCCTCCTACTTCCCTGACTAGTCCTTCACTGTTTCATTTGTTGATTCTCCCTCGTCTGTCCAACCACAAAATCTTTGGAGTGCTCCAGTGTCCACTGCTTTTCTCTTCTTATTTACCTTCACAAACTTGATGATCCAATACAGTCTCTTCACTTTGATTACCAGCTAAATGCCGATGACTTTCAAATTTATGTTTCCATCCAGCGCATCCCCCTGCCCTGGGAATGTTCCCCATTCCCAGCCAAATGCCTACCTCATATTTCCATTTAGTTCCTTTATAAGCCTCTCAAACTGTACATGTATCGAACTGAACTTCTGAATTTCCTCCAAAACTGGTGGGCTCTTCCCACAGCCTTTCCCATCTCAGTAAATTATAACCCCATCCTTCCAGTTACTTAAGCCAAAGATTTCGAGTTAACTGGGACTCCTCTCTTATTCTCACAACTCATATCCAATATGTCAGCAATTTTTTGGCTTTATCATCAAAATAGTTTCAGCATTCACTCACTTCCATTTTTATTACACATCCAAACCACCATCATCTCTCATCTATGTAATTGCTGCAAAAGCCTCCCACCTGGACTCCATGTTTCTACTCTATTCCTCTTATAGCCTGTTTTCAACAAAATAACTTAAGTGATTCAGCTAAAATGTGTATCATTCAGGGGCCCAGCCAGAAACAAAATTGACCCCAGATGGGTGAATTCTTCACCCACTGAAGAGCCTTTAATGGAGGGGCCGCTTACAACAGATTAACAGCAAGGTTAAGAGAACAAACAAAAGAAAATGAGCTATCCAGGGACTGGCAATATAGGAAGCTGTTGCATCTCTGGGACTAAAAATTCAAGGGGAGGAGATAGTGTATCATGACCCAGTGAGGACTGGGACCATAGAGGAGAAGTTGTAGTGGAGGAAGGATGCAACTGCTTCCAGAAAGAGCACCAAAGTGGGAAAAGAATGGGTGAGAAACATCCTGACCACTGTCTCTTCTCATTCTCTGGTCTCCTTTAGGAGCCCCTTATTAGTTAAACCAATTGGAAACCAGCCCACCAGTGACTTGGTGATGCAATCTGCAGAGGTCAGCCCCCCCGGGAAACTGAGCAGGGAATGGTGGGAATGGATGCTAGATGACAGTTGGACAGGGGGAGAAGATAACAAGCACAAAAGAACACAAGTCAGACCACTTCACTCCCCTGTTCAAAACCCTCCGACGGCTTCTCATCCCACTCAGAGTAAAATCTAAAGTCCTTACGTTGGCTTACAAAGTCCTGGATGGTCAGGTCCCTGCTCCCTAGTCATTTTTGTCCTCTGAGATTTCCATTGTTTTTTGTAAGCTCAGCTATTCATTTAAAGCAAGCTGTTGTAATCCACCTAGCAATTGTTAATATTATACTGGTAGAGGTTTTCAGAATATTAATCCTCCATATTTCCAGAAAGAGAAGGTCCAGCATTCAGTGAATATCAGTTAAACAGAAGGATGGATAAATGGATAAACAAACCCCTTCATGGTCATAAACTATAAATGACATTTTTTTAAAGGGAAGACTTTACCTTTTCTTCTTAGTCATTATTTTTCTGGATATCTTTGTTATGCTATTAGTTTTCTGGACATTTCTGTTCTTCTTTTAAAATTGTAGAAATAGCCAGGGGTTTCTTCAGAAAGCTAGCTTTGGTCTTCTGGCACCCAGCCAAAATTATATCATGTCCCAGGGTTGCATGATGTCTACATGGTATCCCAACACTTGAGGCCCTTGTCAGAGAGACGGAGCAACCTTAGGTCCCATCCAAAGTTTGCTTTCTTTCTTCCTTTCTTTCTTTTTCTCTTTCTTTCTTTCTTTCTTTCCTTATTTATTTATTTATGGTGTGTGTGGGAGCTATGTAGTGACCATTGTCAAATATGCATGCAATCCATTCACTTTTTCATACATTTTAGATTCTGCTCTTATATCAAGGTAGATTTCTAGAAGACTTGCACCATATCAGCTTAACCTCTCACTAGATTCCTCTCACTGATTCACCAATGCTGTGTTTTTTGGCTTTTATCAAAGCTTTTCTTCATATGGATGCCTTTGAATCATATGGACGGATCTTACATTTGTTGAAAACATTTTTGGGGGGAATACAGTGAGAAATTTGCTTTAAAGTTAATACACGTTTACCTATGCTATAGAATATGACTCAGCCATAGAAAGGAATGAAGTCCTGATATATGCTGTAACACAGATGAATCTTGAAAACATTATGCTAAGTGAAAGAAGCCAGTCACAAAAGGACAGATACTGTGTGATTCCATTTATATGAAATATCTAGAATAAATAAGTTCATAGAGACAGAAAGCAAAGTGACGATTGCCAGGTGCTAAGGGGAGGGGAGAGAGGGACTGACTGCTTAATGGGTACAGGATTTTCTTTTGATGAAAATGTTTCCAACTAGATAGAGGTGAAGGTTGCATAATACTGTGAATGTACTAAATAGTATTCTGAATTGTACACTTTAAAATGGTTGCGTTTATGTTGTATAAGTTTTGCCTAAGTTAAAAAATAATAGTGCACATTCAGCCTAAAGAGAATATTTGGCGTAAGAAGGTCACAGGGACATGGTAGCAGTGACTTAAAGGATGGTCAGGAGAAGAAGTAATTATTAGGCTATTCCATGGTCCCCAAAGGGTAGAGCTAGATTGAGTAGGTGAGCACTATAAAACCATCACAAAATCAGAGAGATTGGAATACTGAAGGACCATTTGCCCACCATGAGATAATAGCTGGGGGAAGGGTCATCGAATGCCATTGAAAGCAGCAGCCTACATCCATAGAAATGACCAATGCCCAACCTTTCCCTAGCCTACACTCCCAACAAAGATGACCACAAGGTTGACTTGTTCACTGCTGCCAGCCAAGGCTGCATTCACTGCAGTTGCCAACATTAGTTTATCATGGATAGAAGGAATGCACAGCCCCACACAACAACCAGTAGACCTCACTCCAGGCCAGAGTTAGACCTAAATGTCCATCCTCCTCCACAGTCCTTTCAAGACCAAATCCACCATGGCTGCCTATTTTCCTTACACTTGCAGTGTAAGCCCCTCTGATCACCTTCCATTTCCTAGACAATTCACCCAAGTTGCTGTCTCCTGACCTGACCTTTCTTTTCTTCCCAAACTCTTCCTTGCCATCCTCTGTAATTCCTGTTTTACAATCAACAAACTCCAATATATCCTCCAG